TCTATGCATTCCAACAAGTGACCAGTAACCTGTTTTCTTCATTGTGTACCCCTAACAATACGCCTCTCCTGTCTATTTGTTGTCATCTACTGCCTTCATTTGAACTAGTCATGGTCTTTTATGTAGTATAGTAAGTATAATCCATTATCATTCTCAAGGTATACTTACTAGTATTATCTGTGTTGGACGTGTTAAGTAGCCGTTTCAAAGTTAGTTTTTAATACTAGCAATAGAAACGGAATTGAATAGTCGCTATAGATGCCTTCGTCAAAAACAATAAGTTATATTTACTTGTCCGGAAATGCTTTGACTCACATGGAGCCTGGAATCCCATCAATACGGTCATTATATAGGGCTATATAAAGGTTCTTCCGACCCTACGATTCTGCTCAATGGAGGGCTTTCAAGGGCCATCGTTAAACATAAGGACCTGGATGATCAAAGTTCTATAATATCCTCCTTGCCCGACGAAACATGCCCTCTTTACATCACTTCTTATGCCCTCTCCCAATTGATGGGGCTTATTCATACTTTGAAGATGTAACCAGTAATTTCTGTCATAACAACTTTTTAATAACTGAGTTTTGGGCCTATAAAAAGTTGTTTGTTAAGATGTATGGTTTCAAAGAAATTGACGGACTCCACCTTCTTTCCGGTATTGTTGTACTCGTCTTAGTTTGGAGTTTCAAAAATGTAAACCACTGCTATTGAGTAGCACATTACTATTTCATTACTATTCGTACATGAGTAATTATAAAGTTGACGTAGTTGTGGCTATAAGTAAACAATTTGATAATGTTGATACATGAAGAGATTGATTTTACGGAGAATGATGGTTGAGGCGATTATGTAGTATACATAAATAAGGCTGGGAAATCCCCCGATCTCCAGATTCCGACACGATCGTCGCGTGAAGGCTAGCTTTCTACAAAAAAGTTCTGCCATTTTCACTAAATTTCCCGATTCTTTGAAAACTAACAGTCAATAGAGGCTCTGAGTAACGGCGTACTAATGACTCTGATATCTACACCCTACCCTTACAGCTTCGTGAACGTTCTGCAAAACGCTGGGAAATTCGCATTTCCTTCGGAAGAGGTATCTGGGAAGAATCATGTGCCGTTTCTGTATTTTGCAAAAGGCTCTGCTCTACGTTACTGATTTCTCGTCATTTACTCTTTTATTTCGTCGTTTAGTTTGCTCTCAGCAATGAAAACAGTTGGGAATTTGTACAGGTCATAGAAGCCTCCTCCTTCTAAGATTAAATTAAAAATTAGAAGTAAAAGCTTTTACACTCAAATTATTTTC